TTTCCTTTGAAAATCTTTTGTTCTCCAAATAACAATACAGAAAATTAGTTCGAACCATACCTGCATAGCAATTCTAAGGACCAATCAAACCTTTCGACTTTTTCCTCTGAAAATCTTTTGTTCTCCAAATAACAATACAGAAAATTAGTTCGAACCACATTCAAGTTTGCCTTCAGAAAGAACAAAAGGAGAGTGCTCTACCTCTCCCTGCTCAGAGAGCCACAAAGGGCCTAACCAAAGATTCCGAGGACAAACATTACTCAAAAACTGAGGTCAACCATAGGGGAAATCTTTCCTTGACTAGCCTAAAGAGACAGCAGTACAGAACAAACAGCTAAAATCTCTGCGCAGGCTGAACATGCATCTGATAGCTTTCAGCCTATATAAACCGGGGTCTTTCAGTCACACTGGACTCCAACAAGGGACTGAAAGAAAAAAATTTCCTGTCTTTAGAGGTGAAGTTACTTCTAAAGGAAGAATGTAAATCTCTAAGTAACACCAGAATGAATTAACACACACACACACACACACACACACACACACACACACGCATACTGTCTTTCCTAATTAAATTTTAAACAGAAAATTATTTTCTATGTAAATGATACTTTTTTGAACATATAAGATGTGCAATTATCATCCTTGTACTGAAATGCTTTCAACCAGAACACAGGTCTTTTTTTTTTTTCAATGAAAAGCCTTCACTTAAGTTATGGAAATTTACTTTATAACTAACTTTTCAATTCATAATTTGGTACTTAAACAAATCCAACTACTTTTCAATTGATGCACACAAAATAATGTTTTACCAAATTTCTCTCACATGTCTACATTTGATAGCTACCATTAGTCTTCTAACTCATAATTCATTATCATAACAGAAATGCAAAGATGTTCCTCTTTTACTATTTATTTTATGTGGACATGTATGCGGCTGAGTGTATGTAGGTGAAGTCTAGGGTAGTCAGAAAAGGTGTCCCCGAGAACTGGAGTTGCAGATGGTTGCAAGCTGCCATGTGGGTTCTGGGAATTGAACTGTGGACCGCTGCAAGAACAGTAAGTGCTCTTAACCACTGAGCCACCTCTCCAGCACCAAAGATAGTTCTCTTTTACTGTTCAGATTTTTACAGAAAATTGTTGAAGTAAGACACAGGGATCAGTAAAAATTCCTCTTAGAAAACACAACATAGCATACATGTGGTGTCCCCTGCCTATTCTATAACCTCACAACTTAGAAGACAGAGGCAGGAGGATTGTCATAAGTTCATGGTCAGTCCGGGATACATTGTGAGAACCTGCTCATAAACAAAAACAAAACAAAAGACCCATAAAATATGTGAATACTTTTAATCCAAAATTAGTGGTCCTTATTTGTGTTTTTGATATTTTTATTTTCATGTGTGTGGTTGACTGCATGCATATAGTGTGTACAGTGTGTGTGTCTGGTGCCCTTAGTGAGCAGAAGAGAACATCAGATCCCATGATTGTCTTCACTTGAGAATGGGAAAAAAAAGCCTCACAAAATCTCCAAAAATACCTTTAAAAGACTATTATTTACTTGTTTTTTATTTTTGCTATTGTTATTATTGTATAGGTATGTATCTATGAGTAGTGGGGCGAGGTGTGTGTTACAGCACACAGGAGGCTAGAGGATAACTCTGTATGGTTGTGCCTCTGCTTCACCTTTAGGTGAATACCAGGGATCCAGCTCTGATCCCCAGGGATGCTGAACAGGCATCCTTACCCAGCGCCATCTCATCAGCCCTTAAGCCGTCCTTTTAAAAAAATAATTTTAATCAATGTTTTCTGTTTTAATTTCAGAGGAAAATGAGCTAATTGGTGTTGCTTAGCCTTGTTTTTATTTCTACTTAATTTCTGAGAATCTTTTGGTTAGTATAAAAATACAAGAAGAAAAAATAATTACATCAAATACATTAAAGATAAAACTTGAGATTTTCAGACAAAATATAACAGTAAGTAAGGTTCTGGAAGTATAGAGTATGTGTTTATGTGTTTAAAGTACTGTAAAGTGTGTACATAAGAGGTACAACGTGAAGTTGGGAATCTACTTTTGCCCACAATTGTGACCAAGGTTTTGGTTTCTCAGCTGTGCTTCATTGTCTTTCTTACTTTCCTTCCAGTACTAACAAGAGATGCATTTCCTAGTGTAATGCCTTCAACTAAAGTTAAATTTTTGTCAGTTTTCCAAACTTTACATCTCAGGTATGCTGCTGCAAAACTTCTGGCCTAAGCTTTTTCTCTTCCTGACTACTCACAAACCCTGCATCCTTTTATCCAGTTTCTGTATTTCTAAGACCAGAATATGTAGGTATCACTCCTCTGCTTTCAAACAGGAGTGTACAGGCCTCTTCTCCCCTTGAAACACTTGGACCTTCCATTAATGTTGACTGTACTTAGCAATATCCAATCATTAAGTAAATTACTGCAGAGATCTTTTTAATAGCAGCTATTGATTACTGATTTTAAAGTTAACTGTTTACTTGTGAACTAAAGTAGATGCTAAATTTACCTAATTAATATACATTAACTGGGACAAAAGAGATGGCTCAACAGTTAAGAGCACTGGTTGCTCTTCCAGAGGCCTTGAGTTCAAGTCTCAGCACCAACATGGCAGCTCACAACCATCTCCAGTTCCAGGGGATCCAACACCCTCTTAGACATGCACACGGGCAAAACACCAATACACATAAAATAAATAAACATCATTCAAACATTCATATGCATAGTAATTGCATCTATATGCCCTGACATTGGAAGGTTAAGAGAATGTTTTTAAAAGTCAGTTGTGAATAGCACACATGTTCAATCAGCGTTTAAAAGTCAGTTGTGAATAGCACACATGTTCAGTCAGTGTTTAAGTCATCATTTACACGGGAGATGCTTTTGCAGACCTCATATCACCGGTAAATATAAACTGGGTTAACTTAGTACAGGCCACTGGTAGCTGTGTCCTAACACACATGTCTTTAAGGAGGTATAGTAGCTGCAGATAATCCAGCAGACAACATCTGTGTTACACACGGACATCAAAGTCAGCATGGCATGCTTCTGTGACACCAAAAGAGGCCAAGCTTGTAGAGAAATGATTGCTTCCAACCAGAGCCCGCTTTAAATACCGTTTAGCTGCACGGCACTCGGCCAGAATAACTGGATTTTGAAGTTGTTCTGCCTTTGAATCACTCACCAATTCTCAATCCGTTTGTAAAACGAGGTAAATGCAACAGTTATTAAAAATAAGCATGGGTCAGGATTTCTGATTCACGTTTCTTTCACAGATTATTCCATTTGATTGCAAGTCTTGGCTGCTCTCCTGACAGCATAATCTACGCTCGCCACAGCTGACAGAGGCATGGCTTTCATGATTAAACAGGAAGCTCTTGCAGGAGATGACTCTAGATTCCAGATGCATTCATCCTTTGCACTTCAGAAAGATCTCTTTGTCAGCTTAGCATCTGATCATAACCCTCTCTGTTTCCACGCCCACTCCAGGAACTCTGCACATATTATTAAGAACTGTCCTTTTTGTTGTTTTGATTTTATTTTGGCCTATGTTATTCACATAGCACACCACAAAATGTTCCATTATATCCTACAGTAAGAGTTTGGCTTTCCCCTGATTTCTTAAGAGTGTGAGGGGATGTGTCTCAGAATGCGAAGAAAAGTTAAAAATATAAAATGAACACTGTCCCTACAAATATCAGTTTATTGCTTTTGGGAAAAGCCTAAAGATGAGAATGTGATTGAATTTTACTCATTATAATTCCTGAGTTACAACATTCAAAACGGCTTCCCAAAGCAAGGGGTTAAGTGTTTTAGCTTTAATTGGTCACATTGGCCTTTCTTCTGCAAGAGGATTACACCCATGAAATCCTAATTCTGTATGTCCAAACTGGTAACATCCACGAAAAGGCTTCTAGCCAAGAATAGTTTTTCTGATGGGCATAAAGGTAATCAAGGCAGACTCTCCCAAAGCCCAGAACTGACTTTATGTGGTTAACTTCTGAAAGACAAGGAGAGGGAAGGTGGGCTTCATCAGGAACTTCTAACTCTACCCCCAGCCCCACAGCTGGGGGCGGGGATGGGGACATGTGCTGCCTTAACTAAAATGCCTCGGAAATTTAATACTGAAGGGAAAAGACAAACAAAACACACACGTTTTTTTCGTATCTCCTCGGCAGGCAGTTACATTGCTAGAAAAAGCGAAACCAACGCGCAGGTGCATCCTCAGGTTGTCAGGCACAAAAAGATGAACTCATTAAAATTAAGGAAGTGGGTCGGGGCAAGCTCGCAGGCTTTCTGTAGGTTCTCTAGGTTAGAAGCAGCAATACATATTTAATGACTACGAACAGGAGCAAACCGATTACGGATTTGCACTGTGAGATGCTTACTTAAATATGGAGATAAAACCAGCTCTCTTGTAGGTACAAAAATTGTTTTCGGGACAAACGTAGAATTACCCAACTACAAATCCGAGGAGCACAATCACAACAACCTGATTAATGTTTCAGCAAGGGAGTGAATTGATTTGCTTGCCCAAGAACACTTTCAGAGAAAAGGGGGTTGGGGAGGAAGGCTTCCACAAAGCCAAGAAGCACGCCTTCAGCACCCGAGCCGGGTGCAGCCTGTCCATTCAATTCCGCGCTGTCTGGGAGCTGCGAGGGGTCTGAGAGCTTCTGGGGAAGCCGAAGGGCTGGGGGTGGGGGGCAGCGTCTGTCCCTGTCCCCGGATCTCGAATTGCTGCTGGAAGCTGGGGCGTCGAGGACCCTTTGAGACACCAAAGTTACTTTTCTAAGCAACTCCAAGTTAGTGCAGTCCGACAGACACCCCCACACACACACACACACATACACAGTCTGTTTGAGGCCGGGAACTGATGCCTCTCCTTTCCACTGGTGGCCAGGCTGGACCGGTGACAGCCTGAGACAAAGCCGCGGACCCCCACGTCGCGACCCCGGCACCGCGACCCGAGCTGTGCTTACCTTGATGCCCTGCTGCTGGGTGGTGAGGGTGAGCTTGGACTCGTCCAAGAGCAAAACTTCGCAGTAAAATTCTTCCGGAACGGCGCAGAAACAGCCCATGTCGGCTGAAAGCGTCTCCAGCCAGGCGAGAGCAGCGACCGCGGCGCCCGCCGCCGCCTCCCTTCAAGCGCGAAGCATTAATTTATTGTGCGCGCCGTGTGGAGGGCGAGAGGCGCGGGTCTGGGTGGGGTCCCCGGGTGAGGTGAGGTCTGGGGTTCTGGGGTCGAGCCGAGGGCACCCCGAGAAGCTCGGAGGGCGGAGGCGGGAGGGTGAGCACGCCTCGGAGCGTCAGGAGCCCGGAGTCGCCCGGGAAGCGTTCACGGAACTAGGAACACGGGGCGGCGCGTCCCCGCGCATCCTGCGGCTGCGGCTCCTCTACTGAAGACTGGGGCGGCGACCTGGGGACAACAAGAGTCGCCTGGCTAAGGTCAGCCGGCCCGAGACACGAAAAGGGCGGGACGAGCCCTCCAGACCCTCCCTGGACTCAGACGCCCCTCGGTGCTCTACAGCGCCAGCCCAACGCTAGCCCTAGAGCGATTCCCCTGCCGCAGCTCCCGAGTCCCCGCCAGGCGCGCACTTCCAGCGCCGACCCCGCCCCTCAGCCCCTTACAGGGAAGGCAGAGCCAAGAGCGCTCAGCTTCTCTTTTGTGTCGAGGGTGACCATGACCCCCAGCCTGGGACGCAGGGCTAGTGGCGAAGGTCGCCACTCCCTCCGCCACTCTCACAGCCGGGGGACCGACCAGGGCTCCTCACTGAAACCAACCGGGGGAGGTCAGCTTGTCGCGGGCCGCGGCTTCCGTCCGAGGGTCCCCGAACTCATCCCGAGGAGATGGCCAAGTTCAAGCTTCCTTTCCCGAACGTCCTGGAAAAGCCGGGCGTCGGAGGACCTGCGGGCGGGCGCGGCAGGACCCGGTGCGCCAGGCCTCCGAGGCTCCAGGGAAAGTTCTTGGTGGCGCGCGGGGCGGAGCCCTGGGCGGGAGCAGCCCAGGTACAGCCGGCCCCGACCCGGGGCGTCGGCAAAAGGCCTCGGAACTGAAGCAGGAGCCCCGGGACGGTGACCCGAGCGCCCCCCTTCTGGGCGGGGTCTCAGCTGGGGGCGGAGGGCGGAGCGGAGGTGGTCAGGGTGGCTGGGTGCCCTCAGGTCCCGGCGAGAACGCGTGCGCTGGGCCGAGTAGTCCGGCCGTCGCGAGGTCACCGCGTTCGTTTCCCAGGGAGACCGGAAGGTTGGCTCCGAGCAGGCAAGGCGCAGTTCTGCTCCGACCCTCGCGTTCTGCGGTCCCAGTCCCACGCCCTCCGCGCGGCCAGCCGGGGCCAGGCACTGGTGGGCACAATAGCTCTGAGGCTACAGTGACCCCTGGCGGGTCGTCGTGTCCGTGCACAAGCAATTCAAGCCGAGTGTGGAAGACCCAGGACCCCCGCTGGCCCTGGGAGCAGGTGCAGTCAGAACTCTCTAGCTGGGAAGCAACAAGGAATTAGTACTAGTCGCAGTCACAGACCGCAAAAGGAAGGACGCCCCGCGGAGTGGGGCGTGGCGAGGGGGAGTGCCTCGGAGAATTTTGTTCTCTATGAACTGTTAGAACGAGAAAGAACTTGACATCAACTATGAATTTGCTCTTGTTAGCTTGCATAGTCAAAACTCAAAGGATAAAATGCTTAAAACCTAAGAAGCTAGCTCTTAAGTAAAAACTTTGTGTCTCCAACACGGGAAAAAAAAAACAGTTTTGCAACAGTTGGACAGAGTTGTCTACACAGTGACTTCCCACGAAGGACTTCTGTATGAAATTTCGCTTTTCCCAACTTCCAGTAAACATCAGATGCGCCCAACTATCAGTAAAACCCTAGTTTATCTTCAGTGTTTCTGATATTGAGGCAGGCTTTGAGGTTTTAATCAAATTCTATATGCAACTTTGAGTTCTACTGTAAACGTTTTATTCAACTTAAACCTCTGGGTTTTAACATCTCACTGTGGAGGCTTTTCTGCAATGCAGCTTCCCTATCTTTAATTGCCAAATAAGATTGGTGCACGCCTTTAGTCCCAACACTCAGGAAGGAGGCAGAGGCAGGCAGATCTCTGACTTCGAGGCCAACCTAGTCTACAGAGTGAGTTCCAGACAGTTTCAGGATAGCCAGGGCTACACAGAGAAAATTTATCTTGAAAAACCAAAAAAAAAAGAAAGGAAGAAAGAAAAAAGAGAGAGAGAGCAAGGAGGAGGAGGTAGAAATGGAAGAACTATACTTTAATGATTGTCTGTTTTTACCAAAACATGTAGCAGAACCATCTAAGCCTGTAAAAAGTCAAAAGGAAAGAGAGAGGGTGGGGGGGATCCTGAGTGTAATCTTTTGTCTCTCCCCTGTGAGTTCTCAGCCATCTACCTGTTCTAAGGTCCTTTGGTTTGGTACCTTTGTCGGTTGCTCTCAGGATTGGTGGTAATTCTGTTGCAAAGCCGTGGCATTCCATACATACAGCAGCCTTTACTAAGTGAGGCATTCTCTTATCCATGTCTTTACCAGACATTAGAGATAAGAGCATTCAAAAACCTGTTAAATACAAAGCTGAAGTTTCCTATAGATAAGAAAATTCCACACATTTTTAGCAGCATTACTGAATATGACCGACACACCATAGCTACATATATTTAAAATATTCAACTTACATTTTGACATATATACATCCATACAACTGTCACCACAATCAAACTGATAAATATATGATATGAGCGTCATCTCTAGTTCACTCCGGCATGCTCGGATTCCCACCCTCACGTACCGTCCCGTGCCTCCCCTCCCACGGAACCACAGATCTGCTTTCGGTCACTATAGATTCTCTCCACTTTCTCAAATTTATGTAAGGTCACACAATGTCAAATATCTCTCTCTCTCTCTCTCTCTCTCTCTCTCTCTCTCTCTCTCTCTCTCTCTCTCCTTCACTCAGTACAGTTATTCTGAGATTTATCTATGCTGTATGAATAGTTCATTCAATTTTACTGCTCAGTAGCATTCCGTTTTACACACACACAACTGTGTGTATTTTTTATTCATTTGGATGCTTTCCAATTTTCAGCATTACAAATAAAGTGACTAAGCTCATCATCTTTGTCAGCTCAGACTGCCATAATGGAACATAGATTAAGTAGCTTACACGATACACATTTTTCTGGAAACTGGAAGTCCAAGTTCATTGTGCCAGCAAGCCCCAATTCTATTTTTACTTTTTATTTATTTATTTATTTATTTGTTTGTTTGTTTGTTTTTCGAGACAGGGTTTCTCTGTGTAGCCCTGGCTGTCCTGGAACTCACTCTGTAGACCAGGCTAGCCTCGAACTCTCGAACTCATAAATCCGCCTGCCTCTGCCTCCCAAGTGCTGGGATTAAAGGCATGTGCCACCACTGCCCGGCAAGGCCCAATTCTAATAAGGAGCTTCTTGACTTGAAGGCAGCCTCCCTCTTGTGTGTTCTCTCTGTATGAGTGTTCACGGAAGCAAGCACATTGGGATTCACTATAAGAACACAAATCTTTCGGCGTCAGGGGATCACTCTTGCAATCTCATTTAACCTTAATTGTTTCCTTGTAGATCCCACCTCTAAATACAGTCACTGGGTCAGTACTTTACACACAAAAAGAATTTAAAAACACAGTTTAGCCCAGAGTGAGAATATACATCTTTATATGGGCCAGTGTGTGTATTTCTTTTTTAATAAACTATAGACTGACTGGATGAGCAAGAAGATATGCAAGTGGCAAAAACTGCACGGAAAGTAGTTCATGTCCATTAGCCATTGAAAAATACAAATTAAAATCCCCACAGGACACCACACTCATACAGAGCTGCCCTTCGGAGTCTCAGTGAGGAGGGCAGAGAGCTTTGTAGTCTCACTACTCCTGTGTGCAAAAGAAGATGTAAGTACATTGGATAACAGTTGGCAGTTTCTTAAAACTTAAAAAAAAATTAACAAGTGATAATGGTAATTTTTATCAGAAAAAATAGTTTTTCAGTGTGCACACAACCTAGTACTTCCTATTTAAGCTTTCTAACCAAACCCTTGATCTCAATTCAGAAATATTTTTAATAAAATATTTTCTTTGGTTGAAATCCTATTTTGTCACAATAAACCTGATGCAGATGAGTCAAATAACACCCAAATTCAAAGTAAATGCAATTCTTTTGAGATATGTGGACCATCTGTGAACAGTTAAGACCCCTCATCCTCTAAGGTGTTTCACTTGACAAAGACCTCTTCGGCCCTGGCTGAAACACGCACTTCAAAATGCCAGGCACAGAATTACTTGCTAGGTGTTTTGGGGTGTATGTGGAGGGTGTAGGCCAGATGAGAACAGAGTGTTGAACCTCCTGGAGCGAGAGTTTCCATATGCTGTGAGCTGCCCTGTGTGGGTACTGGGAACTAACTCTGCTTCTCTATGAAAGCAGAAAGGGCTCTTAATGGCTGAGCCATCTCTCCAGACTCCAGCATCCTTTTTAAAGCACTATATTCCCATTACAGGGATGTGTTTAAGCAACCCAAGTCATCTCTTACCTTTTTGTAACTTTACATTCTCCAAACTTCTGAAACTTAACAATAATTTGAAAAAGGAAAAAAAACTTTTGAAAACATTGATGATAATAAATCATAAATAAAACATAAATGATTTCGTTATTAAGCATGGGTGGGTAAGATAGCAGAATCTCCATAAAGACTTGGTAACACATGGATTCCTGACCTGACACCAAAAGTTAAGTAAGTCTAGAGCTGATCTTGAGAATTTCCATTTCTAGCTAGTTCTACCATTGAGTACAAGGACACTTTGTAAATCACTAGAGGTTTATCTTCCCCAAAAAAATTAGTAGACATTGTTCCTAATTACCTACAAATAATCCACTGGTTGTCTCTAGGTTAGTCTACTTCATCAAGTTAATGGCTGTCAAGGTAAGTTATTGAAGATCCTGTCGAGTCAATGCCAACAGGAAGAATAGCTTGTAAGGAGAGGAAATATCCTTGGGTTTACTAGTACTTTTGCCTTGGCTACTTGAACAACATACTCATTTAACTTTCTAATGTAGAATGTGCCCAGGCACATACACCTTTGAAGACCATACTGCTTTCTGACTCATTTCGT